GCTGGGCCCCTCCCGCAGGGCCGGCGCGAGGGCCTTTGGAAACGACTCACTCGGAAGGGTCCGGCCGAGGATCCGTGTAAGTCGAGGGAAGCTAGAAGTGAGACCGCGGCTCACGCACGTGCGCCCCCCGGCGAGGTGGGCGCGCCCCGAGCCAGGCCCCGGGGGCCGGGAGCCATGGCGCCGCCGCCCGCAGGCCCCGCACGCTAAGCGGACGCCGGGGCCGGGCGCCGCGCCGGGGCCGGGCGAGGAGCGTGGCCCGCGTCCTCGAGTGCGGTCAGACACATCCAGTCAGCCCCGCTCTGCAAAGCTGTGAGCGGAGGAATGACCGGTGTGACATGAAGTCAGCAGGGTAAACGCCGAAGTCAGTGTGGGCCGCTCTTCTGATAGAACTTGTGATACAAGTTGTGATCTGTAATCCGCAGATTGTGTAATTACCACCAGAAGTGCTGACGGGAAGTATTCAGTTATGCTTATTGACCTCCAAAAGCTGGGCTCAAACCCAAGTGGATTACGAAGCTCCTGGAGGTCTTAGTCTGTTGGAGGAATCACTGTACCCTACTTTGAAAAGGACTTATTTATAATAGAGGATCTGAAGTAGGGAATACGAAAAGAGGTAAAAAATGGAGCCTTTGGCTACTGAAAAATTTTTAAGCAAGATAATTACATACATTATTAGCCTTGGAAATCCTTTTAATTCTCAATTATTTGGGATAGGTCTAATATCAAATATTTGCTCCATTATCTAACTTGGTATTCTGTAATATGTGATTCAGATATGTAACCTAAAAATGAAAGATTCACATATTCTGGGGGTGAAAATGGCACTCAGAATTTCAGTAACTTTGGCATGGTCACACAATGAGACAGTGATACTCCTGGAGTCGGGCAAGGCTCCTCTCATCTACACTGATTGGTCTCTTAGGATGTTAGTGCTGAGACGATGATGACAAGGATGAGCTCCCCTGACAGTGTTTCTTTTTCTTCGGCAGAGACTTGCTCCCACACCAGGAAGAACCTGAAAGGAGTGAGTCACAATTCCCAGCTGCACTGCCAGTTTATGTGCTGAGATTCTGACCACAAGTGGAATGATCAGGCCAGGGATTCAAATCTCTCAAATTTGAAAGACATCTAGAGGCCCACAAGAAACTGAATGAGTTGTTGGTTTCAGGGCAGCCCTCATAGAATCCCTCACTAACCCTTCTCCCCAGCCAGAATCATGGCTGTGAAAGGCAGCGTACTTGCTGGGTCATCCAGTTCTGTACATCACAAAGACTGATGAGCCACTGAAATTCTTACTGGCCCACAACATTTCAAACACACTATCAATACAGAGGGCCACAGGCAGGAAACCTGAGGATAATAAATAGAATTCCGTTCTTATTTAGCTGTTTGGAAAATAAGGTCGATATATAGTTTTGGTAGGTCTCTCCACAGTAGTTTTATAGTATAGGATATACCATATAACAGATATTTATTTTTCATATAATTTAAGGGTCTCTAGCTTCTCTGGAATTCCAAAAAAATAACAGTGAATACAGCGGTCCCTCACCTACTGGGGAAGGGGGGGAGGGGCGAGGCGAGCATAGCTCTGGGAAGGAGCTCCCGAGATAGGTGAGGAACCACTATTGTATTTTAACTGCGATATAGTGAAACTAGAATACATGATATAGCAAGGTACAACTGTATACTCTTCTCTAGGTAGCATTTTGTAGCTAGAAGATTCTGATTGCAAGATGAATGTCACAGTAGAACAGATGTTAACTCTGATAATGCCTAATTTCTATAACTATTTTTAAATTGGTAGTGGGGCTTGAACTCAGGTCTGGCCGTTGTCACTGAGCTCTTTTGCTCAAGACTAGTGCTCTACTGATTTGAGCCACAGCTCTACTTAAAGTTTTCTGGTGGCTCATTGAAAATAAGAGTCTCATGGACTTTCCTGCCCAGGCTGTGATCCTCAGATCTCAGCCTCTTAAGTAGGGAGGATTAAAGGTGTGAGCCACCAGTGCCCAGCTTTTATAACAATTTAAATAATATCTGGCAAACTAAAGCACAAGTGTTGACCTTTCTCCCTGATCCCTCTCTTGCCCTTTTCCTTACAACTGAACTTTTGTTAAATTCTCTATAATTTTCTTTCCCTTTTGTGGAGAAGCAAATTTAACTGCTTAAGAAATTGCTTTGTTATATTTTATCCAGATCTTAGTTTGAATAATCAATTGTTCTTGCATAAAGTAAAAATTAGAAAATGAAAAATGTCATAACCAAAGAATGTAGGAGAGAATTGTGCATTTCATTGCATAGTCTGGTCTGTCCTGAGCTCACCTAGAAAAAAAGAGCTAAGGGCTGGGAAGGTGGCTCAGTGGTAGAGCGCTTGCCTTGCATGCTCGAGGCCCTGGGTTCGATTCCTCAGCACCACATAAGCAAAAAGAAAAAAGCCGGAAGTGGTGCTGTGGCTCAGGTGGTAGAGCGCTAGCCTTGAGCTGAAGAGCTGAGAGACAGTGCCCAGGCCCAGAGTTCAGGCCCCACGACCGGACCCAAAAAGAAAAAAAGAGCTAAGTTCAGTTTTTCTGAATAATCTCTCACGTACTTAATATCCTCTTCTAGAAAAATATGTGTTTAACAAGGCTGTGGAGAAACTATCAGAGAACTAAAGATTATTCATCATTATTTAAAATGTAACTATAGTTCTCAGTATGTTATTATTGCTATTAGAAAAAAATGTTTTGTCATAAGCGATTATGCAATTTGCTTTTAATCATTATTTAGGCTTTTTTCTACAACTATGACAAAAGGAAAATTGTATTCATGTTACTTGAGATAGCACAGTGAAAATAACAGTATGGATTCCTGCTAGGCACCAGTGGTTCGCACCTGTAATCCCAGCTAGTCTGAACTCTGAGGATCACAAGTTAAAGCCAGCCCCAGGCAGGAAGGTTTATGCGACTCTGTGTCCAATTAACCACCAGAGAGCTGGAAGCTCAGGGACAGCGCCCAGGCTCCAGCACCAAAAAATGGAAGGGGGTGAGGGATACGGAGGAGATTCTTGAAAATGACCAGATTTAAAAAAAAAAATCAATCTAAAAAAGAGGTAGAAAGAGGTCAAGTGGAAACCATGCAAATTGTGACCATGAAATAGAATCATTAAAATAGCTATGAGGCTAATTACTAAACACTTTTTCATATCCCAAGGTGAAAAAAAGGTGTAAGTGTGAGAGCTGTTGGACACAGCTAAGAGACAAAAGCTACCCTGAACAGAGACCGAAGGGGCGAGGATTGAATGTATATGCTGAAAGGCAGCCTGGAAGGTTTGCCCTGCCTTCTGTTTCCAAATGTGTAGTTTAAATGGCTGGTCCAAGAAAATGCTCCTGTTACCTTGAATACAGACTCCCAGACACCATGGCTGCCCACCCGGAAGCTCTTGTGCTAGTCACAAAAATGACCGTGTGAAAGGAAACCCTGAATTTCTGACACATAAAGACTTCTGAGCTAACCGTCAGTTGCACAGAATAAATGGAAAAAAAGAGGGGAGGTTGGTTCAAGAACTCTTCTTCAAAACCAATCTATTTTTACTACTTTTAGATCCCTCTTTGCCCCCAGGGACTAAGCTCTGGGTATCATTGCCTGAAATGCTTGCTACAGTGTTAGGTACATTTCTAAATATTAGTTGCACTGACAAACAAAAAGGTTCCTGAATCAGCCTCCTCAGCTGTGGAGGGATCTCTGGGTAAGCATCTATTTAATTTTTAAGCTTGTAAAACACCATGTTTGACCATCTTAACACTATACAGTCTGCAAAACTTGAGAACTCTCCTTGAAGTGTGGCCTCTCCCCTGTGGACCCCAAGTCCTGTGGATGCCTGTATAGCTGCTCATTTTCCCCTCAATGCTGGTTTTCTTTGGAAGTGCTTTTGCAACTAAGAGCTAGCTTCTTGAAGCCATTTTGGTAATGCTTGAAAGCTTTTAAAATTCTCAAAGCTCAGGACCATCTCCTAACCGTTTAAGTCAGAATCTCTGGGATAAGGTCTTAGCATCAACTTGGTTCAGTGCTTTTTCCCTCCTGCCCCTCCCTCCCTCCACCCCCGAAAAAAACCCTCTAACTTCTCTTCACCAAGATTAGTTGAATCCTGCAAACCTTTACTTCTTTTTCAGTGAAAGGTTTTCCCATACGTGGTGTGAAAAGCACAGGCTAAATACACTCTACATAAGTCTACTGACTCAGTGGATCAGAACCCAGGGGAAATAGGAACCCTATTGTCTAACTGGAGTTTGGGTTGTATGGAGGGTGGAGAATAGCCATCCTGACTCCAGACATACCAGAACATTCAACACCCAAGAATCTGGGGAAGGGCCATCATCCTCGTGAGGGAGAGGGCCCGAGAGCACTGGGACTACGCAGTGTATTGAAAAGAGGGATATGATGTCAGATTTTTCACTTGCATCAGAGCGCCCCTGTTCACAAACTGAAGGAAATTATAAGATCTACTTCCTAAGCCGGGGGCCAGTGGCTCATGCTGTAGTCCTAGCTACTCAGGAGGCTGAGATCTGAACCAGCCCATGCAGGAAACTCCGTGAGACTCTTATCTCCAATAAATCACTAGAAAACCAGATGTGGTGCTGTGGCTCAAGTAGTACAGCACTCACCTTGAGCTGAAGACCTGAGGGACAGCGCCCAGGCCCAGAGTTCAAGCCCCATGACCGACCAAAAAAAAAAAATCTGTTTCCTAGAGGTATTGATTGAATGAACAGACACATATAAAAGGGCTGAGAATGGTACTTGGCAAACACCACATACTTGGGAAATGTGCTGCTAGCAGGGTTTTAGTACACCCTTATGCTGCTTTTCTACAAAATGGCTTCTGTTTCTTTATCATGAAGTCTTTGACCATATTTTGTTTTTCCATGATTTAAAGCACAGCTTGTAGCACATGGAGGAAACTGAAAATTTTTTTTACTTAGTTAATAAAAACAACATATTTTTGTGTTTTAGTTTGTTGTTTTTTTTAGAGAGTCTCACTATGAAGCTAAGCTATCCTCAAAATTTCTGTTTTCCTGACAGTTTTCTCAGTACTGGGATTACAGGCATATGCCACTTCATCTGGCTTAATTATCTTTTAAAGGATATAAACAGTTCACAAGATTTGAGGGCTTTAAAAACA